TTTAAAGTCTGTCTTGCCTGATAATTGTATAGCCACTTCTGCTTTCTTGTGGTTGCTGTATGCATAGTGTATCATTTTTCATTTTATTACTTTCAATTTATTTGTATCTTTTAATGTAATATGTGGCTCATGTAGACACCATAGTTGATACTGCTTTTTCAATCCAGTTTCGGTTTCTGCCTTTTGATTAGATAGTATCATTCATTCACATTTAACATTATTTTTATATAATTAGATATACACTATTGTATTTCTTGTTTCATGAATGTTCCTCTATTTTTCATTAATTCTTTTGAAGTAAATGCACATTTTCTAATGTGGCATTTTAATTTCTTTAATGATTTTTCACTATATATTTTTGAGTTATTCCGTTATTGACCGTTCTGAGACATACCACATATATTTTAACCTATCACAGTCACCTTGACATTTATACTACTTAATTCCAGTGAGTTATGGAAATGTTACTCTTATGTATATATATTCCCTTTTCCTGCTTTTTTGTGGTATTAATATTTTATATGGTATATTTGTAAATGTTGCACAACTAACAATACATAGTTATTATTTTATATAGTTTGTGGTTTCTGAGAAGCCAGAAATAGAAAGGAGAGGGGGTGTATGTTTATAGGTTTTGTTTTATCCATCTTCTTGTTGAGCATTTTTGATTTTTTTCATTTGCTCCCATGTATCAAGTTACCATCGGTAGTCATTTCTGTAGCCCCATACATGGGGACCAATGGTACCTTGTATACAGATTCTTTGATACAACTGCTTTTTAAATCTGGAATGAGGAAAAAAGTAGAAAAAATATGCACTTACACTGTCTTCATAATTATATAATTACCTTTACTGGAGCACTTTATTTTTTGGTGTGGATTCACATTATTGACTGAGGTCATGTTCTTTCATTCTGGAGAACTTCTCTTAGCTGATTCATTTTTTGGCCAGATCACATCTGCTGAGCCCCTTGGTCCATTTCTGCTTTCAGTGTTTTCATTTTTCAACTGCAGTATGTCCACGTGGTTCATTTTTTACAATTCTTTATAGATATTCCCTATTTGATGTGAGATTGTCATTATGCCTACCGTCTTTAATCATAATTACCTTTAATTGTTTTAACATTTTCTTTCTTTTTATGTGCACGAGCCAGGGGAAGGGGCAGAGGGGAAGAGAGAGAAAGAATCCCACGCCAGCTCCATGCTCAGTGTGGAGCCTGACGTGAGGCTCGATCTCATGACACTGAGATCACAACATGAGCCAAAACTGCAGATGTTCAACTAACTGAGCCACCTAGGCGCCTGTTTTAACATATTTATGATGAATGCTTTGAAACACTTATCTTTTAAATCCCATATCTGATCATTCTCACAAGTGGTTACTATTCCCTAGCTTTTCCAGTACATGAGTCATAGTTTCCTGTTTCCTTGCTTGACTCAAATTTTTTCCAGAAACTGGACCTTTTAGATAGTGTAGGAACTCTGGGTAGTGACCTACACCCCTGCCCTCCCCAGGCTTGTGATAATTATTTCATGTTTATTTGCTGAGCAAGTGCCTACATCATTTCTGTGAGGTTCACTCCTCACCCACCATAACACGAAGACACCCCACGCCCACCCCCCCACCCTTGTTTGTTTTAGGAAGGTGCAGCATGAGTGTACCCACAGCAGTATGATGGATCTTTTGTTTTTAACAATGCCCTGGGCATAAATTCCTCTGAAGACTGATCCAGTTAAATTTGGGTTCCTTTGAAGTGATATTCCCCAGGTCAGTGTTTGAGATTTTTTTCTGACTCTGGGATAGCTCCTCCCAGCTGACTTTTCCAATGTTGCTCTCTGACAAACTAGGCAGGCTCTTATTCACCTGTTTATCCAATGAATCTATAAAAGTTTTCCCAATTGTCTTTCACAAGACCTCTGCTGGTTTTTTTTTTTTTTTTTTTTAAGATTTTATTTATTTGACAGAGAGATAGGAGAGCACAAGTAGGCAGAGCGGCAGAGAGAGGGAGAAGCAGGATCTCTGCAGAGCAGGAAGCCAGACGCGGGGCTCGATCCCAGGACCCCGGGATCATGACCTGAGCTGAAGGCAGACGCTTAAAGGCTGAACCACCCAGGCGCCCCTGACCTCTGCTGTTTTTGAGACTACCCTGAGGTTCAAACTTCCCTGCACTGGATCTCAAGTAGTGTCTGTTCCTTTGAGAAAAGATTTGGAGCTCTCTGTTCTACAGCCTGCTCCTCCCCTTTGGCAAATCGTCTGACCTGCAGCCCCTGGGCTGAGGGTGGGGACATGGTATGCTCCCGCTGAGTGCCACCCTGCTCTAGTTGCTTAGCGCTTGGTGGAGGGGGAACAGCGGCATCCCTGGGACTCCTCCGTTTGCTGCTCCTGGTGTGGATCCACTCACACCATAAACTGGGCAAGGGCTGTGAGGGCCCCTAGGATTCTCAGCATTGCTGCAGGCAGTGTTGAGCCTCTGTCTCGCAAAGTGCTGATGAGTGGACTAAGGGAGTCATCCCTTCTCCACTGTATCACCTGCAAGTTCACCTGAGCAACAGGTAGCTCCAGTCAGCAGTGGAAATGCTGACCTCCTGCCCCTCCTGGGAGGCTGCTGTCTGGGAGCTGGGGTAAGAGGGCGCCCTGCATTCCTGTCTGTACTAGTCTGTGGTGGAGTTTCCATCTAGCTGAGGGGAGGGAGTGAGGGAGGGAGGTTTGGCTTCAACTCCTCAGATCTTACTGACTTTTAGTAGATTTTTTGGAACAAATGCTTTTTCCCTTTTTTCTTTGCCCTAGTGTTACCCCAAACTCAGTTCTCCCCTTGGTGGGTGTGGAGCCTAAAGATACAGCCGAGCCAAAGAATAGGAAAAGGAAAGGTTCTACTTGGAACGAGTAAGGAGAACATCAGGGATCTTTCCCACAGCAGTGTCTCCTAGAACGATAAAATTGGGGAAGCTTTGACTAAGGGTGCATCCATATTTATGAAGGGGCTTGCTCAAGGGGGAATACGGGTTGGAGTTGGGCAAAAAGTCATCTTAAGGTGGCAGAGTCCAGGTCAACGTCCCGAGGGCCAGTGGGGGTGGGCGTCATCAGGTCTCTGGCTCTGGTGGGTCCAGAGTCCTGAGTGCTCAGAGGGGTTTAGATCCTACGAAGGTAACTCACGGGTGTGTCAGGCCAGACTTCACTTTTGAATCAGCACTGGGAGTTGGTGTGGTTGCTTGTTTGCTTAACAAATTTTTTGTTTGTCTTTCCACAAAGATTATTTCTGTTATCAGAAAAGTAGTAAATAATAGTTGATGACCATTTGCTGACTCTGGTTACTACAAGAAAATATTTAGCCTTCCCTAGTTTGTACACACTTCTTCCTCCCCAACCAGGGCCTCAGCCACCAGCCCGTGGGGTGGTCGAGGATTGTGTTCCTGGCAAATGTCATTTCACCTCCTGGGTGGTGCCTCATTTCCACTACTCTCGCCCAAAGAATGTGTTTAAATCCTTTTGCGTTCCCTGAGCAATAGTGTGCAAGTCCACAAAGTGAGTGGCTTGGACTAGATCTCTCAGCTCTTTTGCAGCTTTGAAGTTTTAGCACAGGTTCTTCTAAAGAGTGGTGATAGAATAAAATGTGGTGAACTGCTGTCTGCTCATAATTAATTGAGATAGTTGTCATAACTAACTAGCACTGGGAATTTTATCACTAATTTATTGTTCCTGGTATGATTAGGCTGTCTCCTGGTCTAGTACAGGCTGTTCATTCCTATATGCTTTCCTAAGATGGCTGGGGCCTGAAATCACTTTTCTTATGCCCAGAAAGCTATGTCTTTCTTTTTCTGGGAACCCCTATCTCTTTCTGCTTACATTAGGACCATTTCCAGAGGTTATAAATGGTTGTCTTCTAAAAGTAATTGACATCACTTTCATTAGGAAGTGGGCTTGTACCGTTTCTCCAGCTGTCGTGTCACATTATTATAGTTTTAATAATATTTTCAATCATCATCACTTTATGGCATATGCCATTTGTTATTTAGTAGTATTTTATTTTAAAATGTTTGACAGATTTTCATTGTTGATTTTTATTTTGATGTCATTGTATCAGAGAAATGTGGTGACATAATATGTATATAATCATTATGGATTTCTTATCATTTTTATATTTTTCCTTTCATTTCGGTGAGATTTTAAAATGGTTAGAAAAAAATGTTCTCAGTGTCAGATACTGTAATGGAACTCAAACTGGTAGATTTATGAGAAACATACTAGTTTTTGCCTATAGTTGATAATTACAGGACTGTTGTTTATTTTATTTATTTATTTTTTAAAGATTTTATTTATTTATTTGACACAGAGAGAGAGAACACAAGCAGGGGGAGTGGCAGGCAGAGGGAGAAGCAGACTCCCCACTGAGCAGGGAGCCTGATGCAGGGCCCCGGGATCATGACCTGAGCCTAAGGCTAAACGCTTAACCTACTGAGCCACCCAGGCACCCTGTTGTTTATTTTAAAATGAATATTTAAACTTCGAGAAATTTCATTCCTAAGTTTGAGGAAGAATATTGTATTGGTTAAGGGCACAGACTATGTATGGGGCAGGCTTCTTGGTTAGAGTCTTAGTTTTTTTTTTTTTTTTTTTTAAAGATTTACTTATTTTTGAGGGAGAGAGAGTGAACGTGAGCAAGTGGCGGGGGGGGAGGGCAGAGGGAGAGGGAGAGACTTTCAAGCAGATTCTCTGCTGACCGCAGAGCCTGGTAGGGGCTCAACCTCACAACCCTGAGATTGTGACCTGAGCCAAAATCAAGAGTTGGACGCTTAACCGACTGAGCCACCCAGGCACCCAGAATCTTAGTTTTTATTCCATAGGCATTGGACATGTGACATAATCCCTGTATCCCTCAGTTTCCTCAGGATGGATATAAGAACACTATGAACTTATTCCAAGTAATGATTTCTTTTTAGTAGTTGCAATATATTTTCATTGTTTAAATAACCACTTTTGTGTTTTTCCTTAATTTTTTACAGCTTATCGTGAGCCTCATTATTATTACCAGTTCACAGCTCGATATCATGCAGCTCCCTGCAATAGCATCTATAATATTTCTTTTGAGAAGAAACTTCTTCAGATTTTAAGCAAATTGGTTCTTGACCTTTCATGTGAAGTTTCTTTACTGAAGTCGGAATGCCATCGTGTTAAGATGCAAAGAGCTGGTTTGCAAAATGAATTGTTCTTTACATTTTCAGGTAAGTATATATAATTCTTCAAAGAAAATGAATTGAAAACAAAAAGCAAATTTTGAAGACATGTGAATTACCTGCAGCATTTTTTGAAAGTAAACGTTATAGCTCTGAATATGTTTCATGTTCTCTACTTTGACTTAGTTCTGATAGGCCCCAAAATAAAATTCTACCGATTCTCGTACTTAATGAAATGTTGGCAATCTCAAATAACTAAACCTTGCTGTGGTAATTTACTAGAGAATAGAATTTGGTATAAAGAAATGCCTATCTTGATATTTAGCTGTTACAAAGATTTAATTTGTAAAAGCACCTAATTCTAATAACATGAGTTAATATTATAGACCAGAGGGACCATTTTAACAGCTTACTGTGCTTTTCCTAATAACAGTGCAGAGTGGAGGCCCAAGGTTTTCTGGAAAACAAAGAATTGATTTTGTATCTATATGTATATTTATAAAGGACCTGTTTATGAGTAAACACTGTGGAATAACTATCCATACGTTTTTATTGGATTCCCTGGCAATAGGACTCCATCCTCTGTCCATCTCAAATGATACTGCTTGCTGTTTTCCTTTCCTCCTCACTCTGTCCTTGATTCCTCTGCTGCTGATGTTTGATTGTACTCACATTTCTCCAATTTTCTGGGTTTTTTTCGGGGGGGGGGATTTTTTTGGTTTGGTTTTTTGGCCATCAGGGATTGAATTTTTAGACACAGCTGAGAGGTGTGAAGCTTTACAGGAAAAAAAGAGTTCAACCCCGTTTGCACTGTATTTTATCTTCTTTACTACTTTTCTCCCTCTTCAGAAAAATTTTGAAAGTGAGTCTGTAGCCCCTGAGACAAAGTATCACAGTTAGACTCTTTAGCTCTTCAAGGACTCACTATTAGCATTCCTAAGAGTTATGAGGTCTTTGTACCCAATGTGTTTAATAGGTGGTATTAATAGGCATTTAATAGTCCTTAGAAGACCTTGAAAGTAAAGTTGAACCCATAAGAGAAAAGATACGATATACAATAGAAATGAGGCATTGTGAGCTTGATATGCATATTTCTAATGACTAATGATGTTGAACATCTCGTGTACTTTTTGGCCATTTGTGTATATTTTATGGAGAAAAGTATATTCAAGTCCTTGGCCCAATTTTTATTTTCTTTCCAGCTTTATTGAAATAAATTGGCATATAACAGTATGTAAGTTTAAGAAGTACGATGTAAGGATTTCGTGTGTGTGTGTGTGTGTATGTGTGTGTGTGTGTGTATATATATATATATGTATAAATATATATATAAAGTTTATACCCTTTGTCTACTTTTATCCATTTCCCTCAGGCCCCACCTGCTACCCTGCAACCACCAGTCAGTTCTCTGTTCCTGTGAGTGGTTTTTGTCTATTCCATGTATAAGTGAGATCATAAGTATTTATTTTTCTCTGTCTGACTTACTTCACTTAGCATGGTACCCTCAAGGTTCATGAACCACTTTGTTGCAAATGGCAGAATTTCCTTCATTTTCATGGCTAAATACTGTTTCATTGTGTATGGATGCACACACACACACACACACACACACACACTTGTTTCTTTTACTGTGAAGAACTTTTCTAGTTTGATGTAGTTCCACATGTTTTTTTGTTTTCATTGTTTGTGCTTTGGGTGTCCTATTCATAAAGTCATTGGCATGTGCACTGTCAGAGAGCATTCTTGTATGTTTTCTTCTAGGAATTTTATGGTTTGTCTTACATTTAAGTCTTTAATCCAGTTCAGATTAATTTTTGTGAGTGGTTTGAGATTGGAGTCCAGTTTTATTCTTTTGCATGTGACTGACTATTTGGTTTTCCCAGTACAATTTATCGTAGAGATTACCTATTCTCCATTGAGTATTCTTGGCTCCTTTGACCTTATATGCATGGGTTTATTTCCTGGGCTCTCATTTCTCTTCCATAGATCTGTGTCTGTTTTTATGCCAGTACCATACTGCTTTGATTACTATACCTTTGTAATATACATTGAAATTAGAAATGTACTGCTTCTAGTTTTCCTCTTTCTCAGAAATACATTGGCTAGTCAGGGTCTTTTGTGGTCCCATAAAAATTTGAGTATTTTTTTTTTATTTCTGTAAAAAATGCTGGTGGAATCTTGATAGAGATTGTATTGAATCCATAGATTGCTTTGGGTTGTATGGACATTTTAACAATGTTGATTCTTTAAATTCATGAACATGGGATATCTTTTCATTTATTTGTGAGTCTTCAGTTTTCGTTATCAGTATCTTACTGTTTTCAGTGTACAGATCTTTTACCTTATTACCTTATTGTTTAAATTTATTCGTAAGTATATTATTATTTTTGATGTTATTATAAGTGGGATTGTTTTCTTTCTTTTAAGGTGATGTGCCGTTATTGTATAGAAATGCAATTGATATTTGCATGTTATTTTATGTCCCACAAGGTTACTAGATTCATTTATAAGATCTGACAAGTTTTTTGGTGGCGTCTTTGGGGTTTTCTATATGTAAGATCACATCGTCTACAGACAGAGATGGTTTTACTTATTTGTGTTTGATTCAAATGCCTTTGATTTCTTTCTCTTGCTTGATTGCTCAGGCTAGGACTTTTAATACTATTAGATTGGAATGGTGAGGGTAGGCACCCTTATCTTGTTCTTGATCTTAGAGGAAAATCTTTCAACTTTTTACCATTGAGTATGGTGTTAGCTGTGGGCTTGTCGTATATGGCTTTTATTATATTGGAGTACTTTCCTTTAAAGCCAATTTATTAGGAGTTTTTATTGTGAATTGCTACTGAATTTTGTCAAATACTTTTGCATCAGTTGAGACGATCATGGGATTTTATTTTTCATTCTATTAATGGGATGCATCACAGTTGTTGATTTGCATTTGTTGAACCATCCTTGCATCCCAGGGATGCATCCTGTTTGATCATAGGGTGTGAAGCTTTTAATGTGCTACTGAATTTGGTTTGCTAGTATTTTGTTGAGAATCTTTCCTTCTATATTCATTATATATTGGTCTGTATGTAGAGATACAGGTCTCTAGAGATATTGGTCTGTAGTTTTCTTGTAGTGTCCTTATCTGACTTTGGTATCAGGCCAAGCACAATGAGTTTGGGCATGTTACCTGTTCTTCAGTAATTTGGAAGAGTTTGAGAAGGATTAACATTAGTTTTTTGAAAATATTTGGCAGAATTCACCACTGAAGATACCTGGTTCTGGGATTTTTCTTTTGGGGACTAATTCAGTCTCTACTTGCTATTGATCTGTTCATATTTTCTATTCTATCATGATTCAGTCCTGGTAGGTTGTGTGTTTTAAGAATGTACCCATTTCTGGGATGCCTGGGTGGTTCAGTCAGTTAAGCTTGATTTCGGCTCAGGTCATGATCTTAGCATTATGAGATGGAGTTCCAAATTGAGCTCTGCACCCAGTGTGAAGTGTGCTTGAGACTCTATCTCTCTCTCTTTCTCTCTCCCCCTCTGCCCCTGCTCCTCCCCTCACCTCACTCTCTTTCTCTCTAAAATAAATAAATAAAATCTTTAAAAAAAAAATGTACTCATTTCTTCCAGGTTGTCAAGTTTTTGGTATAGTGTTATTCATAGCAGTCTCTAATGAGCCTTTGTATTTCTGTGGATCAGTTGTAATGTCTCCTTATTCACTTATAATTTTACTTATTTGAGCCTCTCTTTTTTCTTGCTTATCTGGCTAAAAGTTATCAATTTTTTATCTTTTCAAAGAACCAGCTGTCGTTTTTGTTAATAATTTCTATTTTTTCCTATTCCGTATTTCATTTATTTCTGCTTTAATTTTTGTAACATTTTTAACTCCAGCTAGTTAACATATAGTGTTATATTAGTTACAGGTGTACATCCTAGTAATTCAGCACTTCCATACATCACCCTGTGCTCATCATGACAAGTGCACTCCTTAATTCCAATCACCCATTTAACCAGTCCCTCTACCAACCTCCCCCTCTGGATTGGTAGAACAAATACTGTTAAAATGTCTATACTACCCAGAGCAGTCTATACATTTAATGCAATCCCTATCAAAATACCAAAATACATTTTTCACAGAACTAGAACAAACAATCCTAACATTTGTATGGAACCACAAAAGACCCCGAAGAGTCAAAACAATCTTGAAAAGGAAAGGCAAAGCTTGGAGGCATCACAATTCTGGACTTCAAATTATATTCCAAAGCTGTGGTGATCCAAACAGTATGGTACTGGCACAGAAATAGACACAGATCAATGGAACAGAATAGAAAACCCAGAAATGATCTCATAACTATACAATCAATGAATCTTCGACAAAGCAAGAAAGAATATCCGATGGGAAAAAGACAGTCTCTTCATCTCTTCAACAGATAGTGTTGGGGAAACTGGACAGCTATGTGCAAAAGAATGAAACTGGACGACTTTCTTACACCATACACAAAAATAAAATCAAAATGGATTGAAGACCTAAATATGAGACCTGAAAGTATAAAGTACTAGAAGAGAACCCAGGCAGTAACTTCTTTGACATTGGTTGTCGCAACTTCTTTCAGGATAGGTCTCCTGAGGCAAGGGAAACAGAAGCAAAAATAAACTACTGGGACTTAAAAAAGATTTGCACAGCAATGGAAACAATCAACAAAACTAAAAGACAACCTATGGAATGGGAGAAGATAATTGCAAATGATAGATCTGATAAAGGTTTAGTATCCACAATATATAAAGAACTTGTAAAACTGAACCCCCAAACCAAATAATCCAATCCAAAAAACGGGCAGAAGGCATGAACAGACTTTTTTTTTCAAAGAAGACATCTGTTTTTTTGTTATTTCTTCTAATGTTGGGACAAGTGTTGTTGTTGTTGTTTTTTATTCTTTCTTTTTCCTTGAAGTGTAAACTTGTTTATTGATCTTTTTGTATACTCCTTTGTTTTCTTTTAAGAATTTTCAAGTTTTACCCCTGCATTTAGGTCAAAGATTGATTTTAAGGTAATTT